ATATATGAATGTGTGTATGTGTACACGTATAAATATGAATTAATTTTTATAATTCTTTTTTATTAAATAGGGGCAGATACAGTATAAGATTTTTTTTCTTCTGCTTCCTTTCATTTTATGAGATTTGTGTTTCCTTTTTTGTTGTATTGAAATTTTTGTTTTCAAACAAAATGAATAAACTATTAAACTAAAACTAAAGTAAGAGTTACCATTCCAACACGATATGTTCTCTTATTCTTTATATATTTGTGTACAGAGTGCTAGACTGGCCCTTACCTTCCTCAATTCTAGTGAAGCAAAGCAAAGAACAAGGGGCTGGTTTTTACCAGGCTAACAGAGTGCTATCAACAGTGGTTCTAAATGGAAATTTGTTATGATCTTGGTAGTTTTATCTCTTTATTTTAAGTAAAGCAAGTGAATGGATCAGGAAAAAAATAGAACTATAGGATGTTTTAAAGCAAAGGGTCACAGGCTCCAGTACATCCGGACCATTCAACTAGTGGCCCGTGGGACAGATGTGGCCCCCCGGGTGAGCTCTGTCAGGCCCACTGATAAACTCATTTCAAATAAAACTAAAGGAGATTTGTGTTTGGTAGATTTTTTTTGTTGTAACAATGCTTCTTGGCAATAAATCTTATGCCAGTCACCTGAATGGCAGCATCTGAGGGTATCAGAATCTCTAAACATGAGTCACAAAATAAGCTGTTTGACAGAGAAGATTTGGCAAATTTTTCATGTGCATAACCTACATATTCAGCTCTACTACTCAAAAGCATGTTCCTTACAAATGTGGCACCATTTAGAATGAAATTGAACAGGTTTTCACAGATTTGCTGCCAAGAAGCATTGTTATAACAAAGAAATAATTCACCAAATACAAATTTCCTTACTTTTTATGCTAAGCATAGAGTTTAAATTGTAAATTTAAATTATGTTATATTAGTAATCGACGGATGCGCAGCCCCTGAGCTATTGACTTTCAGTATTTTTGCCCCCCTGAGCAATTTAGTTGCACAGCCCTGCTCAGATAAAAAAAACAAGAAGCCTTATTGCAATTGTAACAAAAATTTAAAGCATGTGAAAACCCAGAAATATTGTAATGTTTCAAAAGAAAATGACCTATTCTGCACAAAAATGCTGACGTTATGCATTAAAAACATGACATCATCAGATTGATACTTGTTCTTGTAAGCAGATTTACTACAATTAGAGCATACTTTATGTCAGGTTGTCAGAGAACTAGACTGATTTGAATTCCTAGGTTTCCTACTTCCAACTAAGTCATTYCCTTATTAAGCTGCAAACTCGTGACTCTCACTCATGAACAAGTTTGGGGGAGTACATCACACCAAAGTCAGTGTGTAGCTGACGCAGAACRGACTCAGTAAAACACAAAGTGAACTTCACACATTTGGTTTATTTGCTCCATTATTAAAAGTTAATAAATAMTGTTTTGTTTCTGTCAAATGCAGACAAGCAGTGGCATCAAGTCTCTCAGCAGCCGGACACACGATCACACGTTCAGACGTTCACTTCTCTCCCATCATCTCCTTCTTTTCCCCACTATCTTTACATCATTTATGTATAATGTTTTTTAAACATCGTTTTGTGCGAAACACACACATAAATATTGGCCTATGACACTTCCTGCACAACTCATGCTCACACACACATTTCGTCTGTGCTGTAAACTCAGTAAGGAAGAGCCGAGGTTTCAGCGCCCCCACACCTGCAGCTGAGACAGAGAACAGCTGCTGCGCTCTTCCAAAAACACAAAAAACAACAACAACAAAAAACAGGCTTTCCTACTAGCCGAATAGATGTAAAGTTCAAAGTACAGATGTTACAGAGGCTAGAAGCTGTTGTCGAAGTACAACCAAAAAACAACCAGTGGTGTGGCTTAGTTTTTGACACTGCTCACATTAGCACCAAGCCGTGGCCTTCAAAAAGCCACAAGAGTTGAGAACACACACAGCGAAGCAGAGCTCGTCAGCGTAACCTCCGTTATTTACTCTAAAACATAAAGCCATGCGTTCTTCCCTCTGGGAAGTTCGACTTGCACTTGTATGGCATTTTACATCGAAGAAACACTGACAGAAAATTGTTGTCGTTCTCGTATCAAATCGCACGTGAAAAACATCCCGGCTCGCTRTACATACAGTACGATATAAACTTTACATTGCTGTTTCCCTAAAACGACCATGTCCTGGTAGGAATTACTGACACAGCATAGGGCATCATTTGTTGTGCACAGAGCATGGCTGTTTGTAGATAATTACAGTGTGTGACCTGTGTTCACATATGTGATAGGACTTGTGGACTTTTGGGCTAAGGCACCTGTATGTCCCTTAGAAACTGAGCCAGGCTAATCTGTTATTGGCAGCCACGCAGCTCAGAAGGGAAAGCACCCATGTTACGAGCAGACTGTAATAATAACCAGGCTGTTACAGTATATGATTGTCATTCCCAGATTGTTCAATTCAGCAGAGATAAGCTATTATAAATTGATATATAACGCGACTAATTTAGGGGATAGGACTATGGTACGACCCAATTCTGAAATAGTTGGGACGTTGTGTAAAATAAAATGTAAATAAAACATATAATGCAATGATTTGTAAATCTCATAAACCCATATTTTAATCACAACGGGACATTAGCTTCTTTTATTGCATGATAGAGCTGRGCCCAAACACTGACATTCATAACAGCTTTTAATTAATTTAGTTTTTAATGCCTGAGGGCCTGAAGATCACAAGAATCCTGTCTTGACCTTCAGCCTTGTCCCTTGTGCAGACATTTCTCTGAGATTCTTGAAATGTTCTGATGATAATGTGAACTGTAGGTGATTGGATATTACATGAAATTGTTCCCTTAGTGTTATTTTTTTCCAGACTGGTGAACCCCTTCCCATTTTCACCTTTTTTCAACAAATGCTAATGTGTCTTTGTTTAATTACTTGATATGTTTACTATGTGCCCTTGTGAATAAAATAGAGATTTATAAGATTTGAAAATCTTGCATTCATTTTACACAATATTCCATTTCCTTTGGAACTGGGTTTGTACTAAAAAGCCTGCATTCTTCAGGGCTAATGCATTTTGAAAATATTAGAAAAGCAAATGTCAAGGGAACTATTTTTAGTTAAAAAAAACAAGGGTTTTACTGGACATGTGGAAGCTGCTGGTACACTCAAGATGGCAATAATAAAGCCACACTTTTAAAAACTTTTAGAAAAAAAAATCTGGAAAAAGAAACAACTTCTAAAAGAACCTTAGATTTTCCTCCTGTGACAAAAAGACAAGTACCTTAGAGTTGGACAGCTTATAAAACCGATCATAAATTTGTAAGAAAATCAGTTCAGAAAGAAGGTCTGATAAAAGCCACAGTTACGTGTGTGTTTGGGCCAAATGGCAAAAAAAAAAAAAAGTGTTTCAAAGGAAATAAATCCTGATCTGCCATTCTTCATCCCTCAGCTGTTCATACGAACCGCAGCATCTGACTCGGGACATGGGAGGGTTGGAGGAGCAGGTGAGGCAGTGTTGTGGGCAGCTTTTCTCCCTGTTCAGTTTGTAGAGTGTTGCTTTCTGTAGGTGTCAGATGTGCGTCTCTACGACTGGGGGAGGTGTTGTCTGATGATCTCTCTGGACTGAGGGGGGATTCTGTCGGGGAAGCGTACGGAGAACTCCACGATGAGATCACCGCGCTGAGACGGGTTCTTCGGGAGAGGAAGGCCCTCCCCTCTGAGTCGCTTGACTGTCCCTGGCTTGATGATGTCGTGACAGGGCAGCGAGATGACGCGGTTTTCCAGCGTGGGAATACTGAGAGTGCAGCCACACAACGCCTGGAGGGGGAGAGGACACACACAGAGGGTTAATATCTTTCGAAAGAATGACGTGCCAAAGCCACAAATATCTCAGTGACTTAATGTTTCCATGAGGTCAAACCAGAGTTTATCTTCTCCGCTGCAACCTTTGTTGAGTTTTCTGTGAGGTATGTAATGTGTGCAACAAATACAGACAGACACCATGTTTGTCAAATCACTTAGCATTGGAGTACAGCGCTGCAGGAAGTCAGGAACAGGAACATTAGGACCTTGGCAGGGTGAAAAGTTTTTTGGGTCTTTGTGAGTTTGTGTGTGTGCGCTGAGTGTGTCAGGGCTAATTTTAGCAACCGTCTCATATCTCGGGCTAATGAAGTGAGGCAGGAATCGGCTGCGCTCGTAAATAGTTGGGGGGTTTGTCAGATCTGCACAGTCGTGCCCGTCCGCACGCACTTTTACACACTTGTGTGTCCTTCTTATCACAGCACTGCATGAATCCAGCCTGGGTGTTGAGACGTGTGAGTATAACGGCTTCACAGGCTTTCCACTGAGCATCATTCACCCCATTTACACCGAACACAATCACCCAAAATATCCTATGAACCAGTGAACAGATTTCAAGGAAATTCTCAGAAAATAAACCTGATCAACCTGATTCTAGATCTCTAATCAATCTTAGAAAACACAAAAAATWTAACTRTWACTCAGTCAATCTAACACTGAGCTAAACTTTGGTTTGGTTGTAGATGAGGCATCTCAATCACATAATCCAACAGATCCCATGAAATCTGCTCCTCGCAGCCTCACGTTTCCACCTGCCTCCATCTCATTCCACTTCTTTCAATTGTGTACCTCCACCTCTTCAAGTTCTCTTCCACCTGTTCCCTGTCCTCACCACAGATCAGTGTCATCTGCAAACATYGACATCTACCAGGATTCCTGCCTGAACTCATCTGTTAGTCTCCAAAAAATATAATATAATGAGTCCAAAAAAGGCTGGTTATACTGTTAAAAAGGCYGTATATACTGTTTATATATATTATTTCAGTTACTTTTTAGATTATAGGCACTTAGCTGTGCCATGGATCAAATTCATAATGTTAATATATATATATTAGGGGTGCAACGATACAGAAAATTGACAATTCGGTTTGGTTCGATATTTTAGTCTCACGGTTCGATATTTTTTCAATACAAAAAAAAAAATAAATTTCCATGCCCCTTTTTTATCTTGTAATTTATTTAAATTAAGTATGAACATTCATTTAACCTCAAAAGCACAGTTTTTAAATTAAATGTTGCTGAAACAGCTAGTTTCTCAGTGGATCTGTACTCGAAAATGCAGCCGAGGTGGAGTAGTTGAACACAGATCCACTGATCTTTCATCACAGCGCATCTTCAGAAGACAAGTTGATAAAAATAAATTTTAAAAATCTGTATTGTTCGATACGGGTACAKGTATTGTTGCACCCTTGTTGTACATAAAGGTAAGTGCTGCATCGGTTTTTCCTGAAGTTCTATCGTCATTTATTTCAAGTCCAGCAATGTAAGCAAAAATGGGGACCAAAAAGTTCAAGTTAGCAGCTGCATCAGAGGAAAACAAACATTTTCCAGCATCCACTTTTTGTTGTGCTCATATTTAGAYGTCCTATGTTACAAATGCTGCCTTTTTGAAATTTGGTRTGCTTGTTTGTCTTTGTCTATGGTGTAATAATAATGATGTGATTGTGATGCTGTATTTCTGAGTGTTTTATGTGCTGCAGAACAGGAACCTGCTGTAAAACAGCAATTATGCTGAGTCAGGCTTGATTTTTAATAATCTTTTCCTGTTAAATAAATAAATCAAATCAAATCAATCCWATTTCCCAGTATCTCCATTATAGTTTAACTCTGCCTATCACTGTGTTCAAGGCTCTAATTCAGAACATTTCCATTGACAAACACGGGTCTCWCACACACAGACAGGTTGCCATGACACTCGACACACTGCCAGCTGATCACCGATTGCATTAGGCTCAGCTCAGACAACACCACCATCGAGACTGACACAAACAAACCAACACTTCTGACTTTCTTTCAAAGCTCTTTCTTCAGGTTTAAATTCATTTCCGAGGCACAAATCCTAATGATAACTCTCATGGGTACACGCTTGACCCTAGAAATTGTGTTTTAGGGAGCAGAATGCGTCCTCGCCACACTCTGGGCTGTTTGCCCAGCTTGTCAGGAACTGGCAGCAAACAATGATGACGAACGTGGTGGGATTAAAACACAATAGCTGCTAAAACTGTATGCGCCGCCCGATTTCCAGAAACTCTCCCCGTCTACAGTTATTTACCTGACGGCAGAGACAGAGCTGTCAAAAGTTATCCACCACGGTTAGCCCTTACTTATCTCTGCATGTGGGTTTTTGCTGCTGAAGTGAGAGAAGCACCGAAAAGCCCTACATCAGATGACAAGYGCACGCTGCAGGGCCATAGTGACAATGTCCTCCTATAGATTCAGAAATAGTTTGGTTTAAGAGTCAAATTTGAGCCACAGTTTCTTATTGCATCTGATGGCTGTCACTGAGAAGACACTGCAAGACGTCTCCTAAGAGTTTCACACAATTTGGCAGCAAAGAACTAAAGCTGTTCACTGGAGCTTCCTTCAGGCAACAAACAAAACTGGGCRACCAAATTGTCGGGGAAGCTTCTAATAATCAAAATATTACAAGGTATTCTCCCAAACATCAAAATGTCCTAGCCTTCCACTTCTWTTTTTGGACCTCTGATGGATTCGTGGAACCGATCGTCGGTGAGGCTATTATTTATCAACGCAAGTCCTTTTCTTATCAGTTACACTCATTTTTACCAAAGCTATCTTCTGTTAAGGTATTTTTACTCTGGTTTTACTGCAGCATTTTTCAGAGACACATCYTCAGAGGAAGCAGCACAGAAGAGAGCACTGCAATACGAGCTCCTATTTGCTTTGGAAACTGAATCATCTGACCCACTTCCTTAATATTCCCCAGATGCATTCCCCCACCCCTGCCTCATCTTTCCCTCCCTAGCCCCGTCTCGTGTTTAGACCCATCAGACTTWAGTCTCTTATCTGCCGGTGGTAAGAGGAGAAGGCTTTAGCTGTGTGGGAGTTCTGCAGTGCAAACTTAATCACTGTGCAGGTCTGATTAAGTACCGTCTCCTGCTTAATGTGACTCAACAAAACTCTTATAAGGTCTACTCTGTGCTGTGTGACGCCGCTGCTCCTCTATGCTTTCCGCTGCATTTCTTGTGCAGCGATTTGCAAGACCCGGCGACACTTTCGCAGAAAAAAAGCTGGTCAAAATGGGCCTGAACAGAGTACAAAAGAACTCCGCTGAAATTTCTGCCGCTTTGAGAACACCTACCGTTAGGTCGAGCATGTGAACTGCAGGCAAGAGAGCAGCAACATTATTAGAAACACTACAGCTGCGCTGAACCGGTTGCCCTCGTCCGGCAGGAGGGACCAATTAAATGTCCTGACAGCCACATTTATAGCAGCCTGGATTCTCACCCCTGCGACACTACCATCCATCTTTAACTGATTTGCRAACGGGCTTGAAGCTGCAGATGTGGCCGCATGCGAGTTTGTGCGTGATGTCCCGGAGGTGTTTCTGCATATGATTTCATACAGCTGCACAGAACGARGGAGGCGGGTGGCTTCACGCGTGTCACGCCAGGACACCACATTTCTGCTGCCTCTCTCGMACCACACCGACAGAGACTCTGCAGCTACTGATCCTGCCTCCCAGCAGCAACCGCACTGATATACACACCCCACAACATCCTGCTTAGAATATAATTCTACCAATAAATGACACGTGGCGCGCCTCTGCCTGAACCGCTGATTGACCAGTTTAAAAAGAGGGTTGCAACGTGAGAAACATTGTGTTTTCTGTGAAAACGCAGAGAGTACTGAACATTCCTAAAGAAGCTGAAACTGAGATGATCAGGCTAAAAGAAGCAAACACAAATAAAAACTAAGCAGATAAAAATGCTACCTAAAAGCAGAGCTGTAAAGTAACTAAGTACGAATACTTTGTTACTGTACTTAAGTAGAATTTTTGGGTATCTATACTTGAGTAATTATTTTTCAAACAACTTTTTACTTCTACTTCTTACATTTTCACACAATCATCTGTACTTTCTACTCCATACATTTTTAAAAATGTCAAGAAGTAGAAAGTTGTTACCTTTATTTAATTTTTGCTTATTTTCATTCCAGTTTGTTGTAAAAAATATATATATTATCCATATAAATTGTGCCTCCTAGATAAAGTGAATTTAATTGTGGTTCAATGAGAAGTATAAATATATAAAATTCTGATTCCATATCATGCCACACACTCCAGCAGGGCACAATCATTRAAATAAAAGTCAACTTAACAAATACTTAAGAAGTATTTGTATTTCATGAATTATATTATTGCATTTGCTCACAGCCCTCAGATAGATTTTATTTTGGAGAAAAGCTTTGGGCAGCCTTGATATATGTATATAAACTGAAACAGMTAGACTAGTGCATCCTAAATTTAACATAAATTAATTAATTTAATACAATATAGTCATTTCTGAATTTTTTGGGGAGGTCACCTCCTAATAAATGTCCCATAAAATCTAACTACTCATTTTAAATCAATACTTTTACTTTTAATACTTAAATACAAAAAGTATCAGATACTTTAAGACTTTTACTCAAGTAATATTCCTAAAGAAAACTTTAACTTTTACCAAAGTAAGTTTTTGGTAAGATACTTGTACTTTTACTSAAGTATCACTTTGTGGTACTTCATACAAGACTGCCTAAAAGCAAAAGTAGCAAAATGCAAGTTTAAATTAGCAAAACACTAGCTATAACCTAGAAACTAAAAGTAACAAAAGACTAGCTAAAAGTAGAAGAACAGTAGCTAAAAGGCTCCTCTTACAGCTTAAAGTAGGAAAAGGCTAGTTAAAAGTTAAAAGCAGCAGAGATCTAAAGGGTATTTCTATGGGGAAAATGTGTGTAAAAAAAAGTTAAATATTTTGAAAAGTATAAAAGTTGAAAAAGTCATAGCATCTTTGTTTTGAATTAGCTGAATGAGCCACAGCTCAAAGTATGCAGAAGTAGTAAGATTGCCAAAGAAAGTAATAAATAAAGAGAGCAGAACTTCTTCCAAATGCCTCAAGTTACATAAATACTTTAAATTTCTCTTGACCCCTGAAGTATTCTACTCTACAAACAAAACTTCAACAAAAGAACATGACTAAAACATGGAGTAGAAAAACAAAAAAACGTGTTAGTCGCACCTCTTTTAGACTGATCTTGCAGTTATAAATGATATTGGAACCATCTCTCCTGAAGTGGGCATGTCCTTTGTCTTTAAGCACAAAGACTATGTCAGCAGGAATGTTCTCCGGAGTCTCGTCCCCCTCCTTTGGGAAGGTGATTTTGGTGCCCTCCTTCCAGCCCTTTTTGATGACAATGTTGAGGATCTTGTCCTCTGTCCTCATGCTCCGCCCATCAGGGTTCAGCCTGCGGCGGGTGATCTTCATGCGCTTAGTGCAGCCGTGGAAGATCTCCTCCAGCGAGACCTTCAGCTCGTGGACCACCGGAGCATCCTGATGCTTGCGACTGGTCCCCAAGCGCTCCGATGGCGCCCCCCTCCTCCTGCGACCCTCTCCTGGGAATCCGTTGCTCATCCCACCGGGGAAGCCAAACTGTCTCCCAAAGTGAGCGAAGGGGTCATCCTCGTCCATGTCTGCATCCTGCTCCACGCCGTTACTGTGGTCRTTGTGGAAGGAGAAGCCATTAGAGCGGCTGTGGCTGCGGTTGGAGCCGAAGAACATGTCGAAGGGGTTGGAGCCCCCGAAGAAAGAAGCAAAGGTCGCGTGGGGGTCTCCGTGGAAGGTGTAGTGATACGTTGAGCTGCCGGAAGCGCCTGAAGAGCTGCTGCCTCCCGTCTTCAGACCTGCAAAGAGAAAAGCGTGATTAAAAGGTGGGACTGCGTGTGCACACACTCGAACACCCACCACCTGAAGACAACCATTAACACAAACTCAGAAACCAGCCGAAGGATCTGTCTGTTCAAAACACACAAACAGTGCCCAGCAGAGAGAACTCTGATGTTTTTACCGCCCACATGAGCAGTAAAAACATCCCACAGCATCACCGATCCTCCAACAGCGCTGGTGGAGGAATACATGAAACAGCAGGTCACTTCATACATTACAAATACACACACACAACATCTGCAAATGCAAACACCCTCAGTTGCTTGTCCATATCTCAACCACAGAATAATCTCAAGTAGGGCTGCATGACCTGCCATGTGCAATAACAGGGCTTAATATTACGATGGCGATATGACTTGCAATACAAATACAGAAGTATGCAGTGTTGATGACTTTCTGCTCTGGGTTCAGAGCAAAAAAAAACTAACTTATTCATCATTTCCATTTAAACATGACAGTTTTATTTTTAAAAAGTGCAACTAGACACAGCTGCTGTATTAGCAGTGAAACAAAAAAACTGCATGCTATTTCTTATTGACGTCAAAACATCGCCTCCATAAAACATTTTCTGATGCTCTAAATACTGAAAAACTCTAACTATAAGTTTTTTAAAACAAATAATAAATACATCTGAAAATAAATAAAAAAGTTTTAAACGAAAGTTAACAGACCTAAATCAAACTGCAAATTCTATCATTGCAGTTTTCCAACATTTTCTCCACTAAGTGGTGATGATTTGATGTGGTATCTCGGGTCCATTTTATTAAACTAATGTTGACAAAATGTATAAAWGCAAACGTGAGCCAACCATTGTTTGAGGTTTACAAAGTTATTTGCGACATGCCTACTGAACAGGCTCATTTTGCGATGACGATACATTTGCGACACATTGTTCAGGCCTAATCTTAAGCCATCTGTCAGCTAACACTGCACTTACAGTATATAAAGGTCGACTATAACATATTGGACTTGGTAAATGTTGCTGAAACCAATAACCAAAAGTCACACATATCCCTGCACATAAACACAAAAAACATGAAAAGGATAATTACTTCAGTGACTGAAGTTCACTGCTTTAATATTAGAGCTGTTCCTGAGGGCTCACACACACAGACTAAGCCCTGGAGGCTTTTCTGCCTGCGCTCTTTGAAAACTTTCACTCAATTTCCAGACAGACAAGACTCCTCACCTTCCTCTCCCAGCTGATCGTAAACAACCCTTTTCTTGGGGTCACTGAGCACCTCGTAGGCCTCTGCGATTTCCTTGAACTTCTCCTCCGCGTTTGGGTCCGTGTTCTTGTCAGGGTGAAAGCGGAGCGCCATGCGCCGGTAGGCCTTCTTGATTTCGTCCTCGTTGGATCCCTTGGGGATTCCCAGGGTCTTGTAGTAGTCCTTCCCCATGTTCTCAGCTCAGGCCGTGGTCAGTCACTGGTGAGGGACAAGAACACTCATGACACTTCCCTAGAATAGATGCTGCTCRGTATAACTTGTGAATAAATTTGGTRATTGTCTYGCRATGTGGTTCAGTTAAAAGCAGTTGTTTAATTATTATCTGCATGTGTTTAGTATGTGATAGAGTAAATAAAAACTGGGCAAATAAATTATTGGTTGATTGGTTTTTTTTGTTGTTGTTGTTGTTGTTGTTGTTGTTGTTGTTTTGTTTTCAGACATGCTATGGGCAGATTTGTTGTAAAGAGACTATTAAATGTTGCTGTATGGTCAAATCCATGTTAAAGGTAAAGGCCACTGGACCAACTTTAAGCTACATGTTTCTGCAACCACAGGTGCCACCTCACAGGACATAGACGCAAATGAAAATGCGACACCAGGTTGATTCGATGGATAATTCAGATAATTCAGGGAAACCATTTAAAAACTCCAYGTTCTGCAGATCATCTGTAGTCAGGTCACTGGGGYGACAGGTCTAGGAGAGAAACCCAAACATGGTTCTCACCAGTGACCCTTTACAGCACATCTTAGGAGATCCCAAGGTGTTCCCAGGCCAGAGAGGATACATAATCTCTTCCCCGAGGCCTCCTACCAGTGGGACGTGTCTGGAACACCTCTACAGGGAGACATCCTAATCAGATGCCCAAACCAAACCACCTCAACTGACTTGTTTTGATGCGGAGAAGCAGTGGCTGTACTCYGAGCTCCCCACGGACGATGGAGCTCCTCCTTACCACCTCACAATAAAAGCTCATTTCAGCCTTGTAGCCATCCAAAAACATTCAAGCTAAACTCTAAGGTCAAAGTWTGTCGCTTTGTGATTGCATCATCCGTCACATGTTGGAGAAGAAGACCCAGCAGGACTTTAGTTTAAAAAGGGGATATTGTGTATTTTTCAGGCACATACTTCAGTTCTATCCCACAATTATGTTAACTTCAGTTGTTGTGAAAATACTGTAAGTATCGAAAATAATAGACTTAGCATGTCTAAACACCCTGAAATTGGTCTCTGTCTCTTTAAGAACTAACCTCCTACCATTTCAGACACTCCCACTTCAGCATGTCTTTACAACAATTCTTTGGGGGAGGTGTGCTCTGTGGCAGTGATTCCCAACCAAGTGGTACCTGAGCATATTACATGGGGTACGTGGAAATATTTCCCAGGTGTGTAAAAAAAATGAAAACAGGACTGGGATATCTATGATTTCCACAACGCAGAAAATGCAGACGGTATCACTGAATTGACACTAAATGGAATCCAGTATAAAATGCATAATCTCACGGAATTTGCTCATTTGGGCGAATTTCTGATGTATTTTGGACGCTGCTGCTCCCTGCACCTGCCCTTACCTGATTTATTTATTTAATTACGTATTCACTTTCAAGACAGCTTATTTATCTTTATGTTTAATTTGAGTTGAAAATAATAAAATGCCTGAGATTTAAATGTTCTACGGAGTCAAATAAATCACTTAGTACAAAGTACGTGCCTTCAGGCCCAGGCCTCCCTTGAAAAACAGATTTGTGAACTAAATGGGATTTGCCTGGTTAAATAATSGTAAATATTAATAATAATAACGAAATGAGTAATTTTCATTAAACAATAAGTTGTTGACATTCAAGGATTTCTCAACATGCATGAATGAGTCAAAGCAACACTCTGAGCATGGTTTTGATGAGGGATTGACATTATAACATGATAAAAATGTCAAAACTTTAATTTTGCACAA